GGTTCAGGCAATTCTCCTGCCTCAGCCTCCTGAGTAGCTGGGATTACAGGCACGCACCACCATGCCCAGCTAATTTTTTTTATTTTTAGTAGAGACGGGGTTTCACCACGTTGACCAGGATGGTCTCGATCTCTTGACCTCGTGATCCGCCCGCCTCGGCCTCCCAAAGTGCTGGGATTACAGGCGTGAGCCACCGCGCCCGGCCCCAGCAAGTCTATTTTTATGTTACTTGCTTTCAGAGTAAGAGGTTATTTCAGACAAAGTAGTTTGATTTAGTCTTTGTTGAAAATCATAAATAGCCTACAAATAACCAAAAGGGATGAATAGAATTTGCGTTCATATGGAGTGCATCATATATGCTTTTAAATTTATCCTGTGAAAAGAAATAAAATATATATAACATTGAGCACTGCTTTTCTAAATTAGGAAATCAACTATTTCCTCAAATTATCCCAAGTTCTTCCAAGATGCTTCAGAAACATTCTCTGGAGGCAGTTGTTCCAAATGGCGAAGAGTACTGGATGGATCGGAATCTCACAGGATTCTTGCTTCTATTGCAGAAGAGTTACTTTCCAGGACTTCCAAGGTTTGGAGAAGCTGCTTGATTCGTGTGGTTTACAGAGGTGCATGAGCTTTGGAGTCAGGAAAAGTTAATCCTGAGTCTCAGCACAGCCTCTTAGTAGCTGTGGGACTTTGGACAAGTTTCTTGTCTTGGAAAGTTATATAAATCTCATCTGCAAGAAAAGGTAGGATACTGATTGCAAAAATGACACCAATTCATTTTATGCCCTTTGTGATGTGCTTTTATAGCTGCTTTCATTGAGAGGCAGAATCTGTCTCCCAAACCTTGAATCTCATTGGCCTTAACTTGCTCTGGCCAATAGAAAGCTGTGAACATGACCGTGTGCCAGTCTGGGGCTTAGGCACAAGAGCTCTTCAGTGCTTCCGTGTTTTATTTTTCAGAACCCTGGCATCTCCATGATAACAAGTCCATGTAAGCCTGCTAGAGGATGAGATATTACAGGGAGGAAAACCAAAGTGCCACAGTTGACAGGCAGCTCGCCCTCAGAAGCAGCGTTGCCTAGTCAACCAGAAGCCGACCACACATGCCTGAAAGGGCCCGGCTGAGACCAAAAGAATGGCTCATCTGAGCACAGCCTAAAAGGTGGACCAGTTCAATCTAATAAGTTTTACTATGACGTAATAGCTAATACATACACCTAGTGCAGACAGGATGCCAGGATTCAATGACATGTTGATGATAAGTTACCAGAGAGAAGGCACCTCTATGTACTGACTTCCTTTTCCCTTTATGTAAAGTTGGATCTCTGGTTAGATGGTGTTGAGCGATACAGAAGTGCATGTAGATGTGCATGCGTGTGATTGGTGCTTAATCTCACACACTTGAATTCCACACCACAGGAGGAAACAGAAAATCACAGCCTGACCCTTAGGGCCAAAGCCAAATTGCAAAATGAAAAGGGTGTCTTTAAAGTATTCCCTCCACATCTAAACTCTGAGGTTAAGGCTGTGGACAAATCTGAAGACATGGGTTCTCTACTCCTGGGGCCCCTCAGCTTTTTTCCACTGTCTTATCTTTAGAAGAGCCTAGGCCCCTGGCAGGTGGGAAGTAGTAGACTCCCCCTAGATACTTCTTTTTTTTTTTTTTTTCAGATGGAGTTTTGTGCTTGTTGCCCAGGTTGGAGTGCAGCATTGTGATCTCGGCTCACTGTAAACTCTGCCTCCTGGGCTCAAGGGATTTTCCTCTCTCAGCCTCCCGAGTAGCTGGGATTACAGTTGCGCGCCACCACGCCTGGCTAATTTTTGTATTTTTACTAGAGAAGGGGTTTCATCATATTAGTCAGGATGGTCTTGTACTCCTGATCTCAGGTGATCCACCTGCCTCGGCCTCCCAAAGTGCTGGGATTGCAGATGTGAGCCACTGCGCCTGGCCTCTTAGATACTTCTTTATTGCAGCCCACTTCTCTCTCTGGGCACCGTCTCTGCCACACTTGTTGGCAGAGATGTTGGCAGAAAGAGGGCATTCCCTCACCTCTAGCAGAAAAGAGGGGTTCGGGCCCTTCACCTCCCTGAGGTCAGGGAAGTCAGAGCCCTCAAAACTGCACTTCAGCGTGAGAGCCATTGCCCACAGGGATCTACTTAGCACCTAGAATGTGGCTGGTCTGAATTGGTATGTGCTGGAAGTTGATAAAACAGTGACTCTGAAAGATTTAGTACCAAAAAACAACGAAAAATCCATTAATATTATATTGATCATATATTTAAATCATAACATTCTTGATGTATTGAGTTAATTTATTATAATCAATTTTATCTGTTTACTTATTTTTTTTGTTGCTGCTAGAAATTTTTAAATGACACCTGTGGCTCGCAGGTGATTCTATGGAAGTTGCTGCCTTAGAGGCTTGCTTCCGTTTTCAAACCGCAGCCTGCTCAGACTGCTTCCCTGGAAGACCAGAGGCCATGAAAGGTAATAAGTCTGAAATTTTAAAAGAATTATCATATTGTTTCCTATTTTAAATATCATATATATTATTCACAAAGGAATGCAACGTTACATGCAAGGTTAAGAGTGTATAAATGAGCCCGGCGCGGTGGCACACGCCTGTAATCCTAGCACTTTGGGAGGCCGAGGTGGGTGGATCACCTGAGGTCAGGAGTTCAAGACCAGCCTGGCCAACATGGTGAAACCCCATCTTAATTAAAAAAGAAAAAAAAAAGAGTATATAAATGAATGTCCCTTAGGCCAGGCTAGATCCCAACCCGGAGAGGAAGCTCCCAGAGAAGAGCTGGAGCCAACACGCTGCCTCATTCAGACACGAGTGGGAGCGTGTCACCTGTCACTCAGGGCCGGAGGGGGCGGGGCCTGGAGCCCTATCCAATCAGGGAGACCGGGGCGGGGCTGCCCAATCAGGCGCTCGGCCAGAAAAGCCGCGGCGGCTTCCGGGTGCGCGGGCGTTTGTCTCCCGTGTCCGCACGTGGGTGGGTCGGCCAGTCGCCGCCGCCCTTCGTCTTCGGTTGCCGGGCTGCCGCAGGCTCGGCCGCAGCCTGGGGCCTCCCGTGGCCTGCAGGTGCCGAGGGACGCCCCGGAAGCCGGGAAATGGTGAGTGGCGCCGCCGGGGCCTGGAGAAGGGGCGGGGGCGGCGGCGGCCGGACCCGGGCTCCCCGCGGACCGGGTTTCCGCCGTCGCGGCGCGGCCCTCGCTCCCCTCGGGCGCGGGCAGGGCCGGCGGGCAGCGGCGCCCCGGGCTCGGGTCCCGGGTCTGCGGGCGACCTCCGTCCTGCTCGAGCCCCGCGCTCCCCAGCCCGGCGCCCGCCTCCCCGCAGCGCCCCGGCGTCCTGCCGTGAGACCCGACGGTCCTCAGCGGAGAGCGGGCGCCGCGGCCACCGCAGTTTCCAGCCCCTCTTCAACCCTGTTAAAAATTCAACTCAGGTTTCATTAAAGCGTTGCAGTTTGCGCAAACAGCGGTTCGTGAGCAGGGAGCACCCAGCCACGGTTTTTGGTTTGTGGTTTGTGGGCCACCGGACGGGCTTGATGGAAAGGCTTTTATAAAGTGCGCAAGGAAGCAAACCAAATTTATTTTTTCTTTTAGTGATGGGGGCGGGGGGGGGGTTCTCCCTATGTTGCCCAGGCTGGTCTTGAACTCCTGGTCTTAGACTCCCGCCTCAGCCCCGCAGTGTGCTGGGATTACCCCGCCCAGCCCAAAGCAACTCCAATTTAATACTTGATTAGTTTTAATTACGTAGTTCTGTTATTTGGACTATTTAGGTGGTTGGTTCCCGGTTATGTAATCAGAGGTAAATTGCTGATTTGGGGTTAAGTTTTCCTTGGTGAGGAACTTGGCACTACGTCACTTCAGTCTAATGTCTTCCTATTTAGTGATTTCCGCGGGGTGCTGTTTTCCCCTGCACTTTCCAGATGGATGGCAAGCAGGGTCTCAAGTCCGTGACCTGTCTCCCCACCCTAACTCTTCTAAAACTTGAGTAAAATTCCAAATTTCCAGTTTCTTCCTCACGCTGTCAAACCTCAACCTCCCCTCTCCAATTTACATGATTAACCATTTGTTCTTTTTTGTACATTTGAAACAGATGCAGTATTTTAATTGTTTATCATGTTTTCATTGAGCAGTGAGGAGCTGCTTCTGAACATTTCACCTGAGAGGAAAGCAGAGAATAATCACCTGACCTAGTCCACTGTAGAAACTTCTCTGTGCCTCTCCTCCTTTTGTCTTCCCCAGGCTCACACACTTTAGCAGAAAGTCTTTGAATGAAGGTTTCCATTTGGAACCTTTACATGGTGATATGTCCTCAGACACCCTCCTGCTTTTTCTGGGTCCTGGGTTCAAAACTGTTTGAGGATGACGTAATGTGCCCACCGTGGCCATGTCTCTGGGAGTGTCATAAATAGTGATTGTCAGCCCTTGGGTCCTCTTCTCCCAGAAGACAAGGTGAGGTTTAGGGGTGGAGCCTCTCAGAGGAGCAGCTGGATGGGTGAATCCCCTGGGACTGAGAGGAGTCTCCTGGTATTCTCTTCTGTCCTCTGCCTCTAAAAAGCTAACCCATTGTGAAGGAAGAGACCCCTCTTTCCTGTCTCTTGTCTCAGAGGAGAAGGAAATAAAAGTTGAGACCTAGTAGGCGTGAGGTCAGTGGCGAGGTCGGCTGGCGCCGCTGTGAGGCCTGGAGGCTAAAGATGAACCCCTCCACCCTTAATCGCACTCCTCTATAGATTGCAGGCATCATGTGGAGAATCGCCCTCCGTTCTTCTCGCTCAGCCTTGCTCAGACCCCTACCTGGTCATGTACCCCACGCCTACTTCATCCATCGTGACCCTGTCACACGTAGTTTCTAGAACTTTAAGCCTTTTGGATTTTCTTTGTTGGGGATCTCGGTTCTTGAGGTGCAAGTCTGCTGATGCTCCCGTCGGAATAAAGCCACTTCCTTCTTTAAATCTGGTGTCTGGGAGGTTTCATCTGCGGCTTGTCCTGCTACAATTGGAGCTTAGATTTTTTTTTCTCTCACCCCTATTGCCTCTCCTTAGAGATAAAATGCCGGTCAGGCAATCAGATACTGGCATTGAGGGAAGAAAGAAATTTCTGCGCTCTGCATTCTCTCATACTTGTGAAGGGAGAACAGCTATTCAAAAGTACAAGGAATTCCCCCCCCCCCACCCACAGTGAGGCAGGAACCTGAAAAGCAAAATGCATTTGGGGCACAGTGAGGACACAGTGCAGTTGTTTGGGGGAGAGTGGGCATTGAGTACTTCAGTGAGCGGGGTGGGGGTGGGAGGATTCAGGTGATTAGATGGCCTTGACGTGACACTTGAGTCAGATGTGCCCGTGTTTGCTAGTACTGCTACTCCTTGTGTTTGTCGCCTTGAAAATATTTGTTCACTTATTTTAACTTCA